CCCCCCCCCGGCCATCATCATCCAGATGGGGAGGACTGGGCAGGGTAGCCCAAGCCCCCACCCCAGGGTCCTGACACCTTCCCTTTCTCTCCTGCTCAAAGCGGTTTGCCCGGGCGGACAAGCGGGGGAAGCTGCCCCGCTGGATCCAGGAACACCTCACGGACGCCAACCTCAACCTGACCGTGGACGAGGGGGTCCAGGTGGCCAAGTATTTCCTGAGGCAGATGGCACAGCCATTCCACAGGGTGAGCTGGAGGTGGCCCGCCCTGACTTCCCCTAAACCTCCCAAGCTAAGCTCCTCCTCCAGGAAGGTCTCTTGGCTTTCTCCCCACGCCCTAACCCCAGCCTGCCCTTGACAAAGGGAGGTTTGTGTGTGCCCACGAGCTCAGCCTGGGAACTGGTGGGAGTCAAGGGCTACAGACGCCAGCGTGTGTCTACAGTAGCCGAGCAAGTGCGTGGGAGCCCCAGGAAGAAGGGCGAGAGAACTGGGGTGAGCAGGCAGGCGGAGCCTCTGGAAACTGATCCTTCTCCAGCCTGGACACAGCTGTCTGGCTGCCACCTCCCTCCTAGCCCGCCTTCTGTTACAGGATAGTAGCTCTGTGTCCTACGGGTGTTTCCAATTCAAGCATGCTGCCCTTTAGCCCCCGTGTGAGCCACCTCCTGTCACTATGGACCTCTGTTTCCTCATGGGGGCATGTGAGGAAGGGCAGCAGCTGTCTCCCCAGCCCCTGGCCTGACCCCTCCCTCTGTCTCTCCCTCCAGGAGGATCAGCTGGGCCTGTCCCTGCTCAGCCTGGAGCAGCTGGAGTCGGAGGAGACGCTACGGAGAATTGAGCAGATTGCACAGCAGCTGTAGCGTGAGGTGGGGGCAGGGCCATAAAAGGTGTTCCTTGTGACTCCAGAGTGTTACCTGGCCCTGGGTCCCCGGGGCTTGAAGGGGGCCTCAGGGAGGCACTGCAAGGTCCCTGCAGGAAGGAGACCTCAGGCAGACACTCCTGGCACCAAACCTACAGCCTTTAATCGCAGGAGGGGAGGGCAGCCCAATACACCGGGTGTCCCCAGGAGGTGGGGCACCAGGCAGGGAAATGGAAGGATCCCCTGTGCCCACCCCTTTCCCCAAAAGCTGCAGCCACGTGGTCCTGTTGACTATCTGGGGCCCAGGTCCTGGGTGCTGGTGCTGAGGGTCCGAGAGGCCTCGCTCAGGTGCCGGTTGGGGAACTGGGGACAGGCACAAGGGATGGCTGATGGGTGAGTGAGGGGCAGGACACACCTGCCCCAGCTGCCACTAGAGCAGCTACCCCAGCAGCCTACCTTGATCCCCAAGTAAAACCCATCCATTCTGTCCTCTGGTCCATTCCAACCTCCCCTCCCCCCCTGACTTCCAACACCAGCCTGTCCCCTTCCCTTGTCCCTGGGCCCCCCACTCCATCCTTGACCTAGGTGCTCCTGTCTCCCCCTCACCTGGGTCCCAGTAGCCTTTGCATCATCCATGTGCAGTGTGTTGAGCGACATAGCTCTCTTCATCCTGCAAAGGGAACAAGTGAGTCCAGGAGGGCCTGGCTCCCACCCTGGGGACCTCTGCAGCACCGGGTTTGATTGTGTGTCACAAGGGAGATGGGAGCCATGGAAGGTTCTTGAGCAGGATTAGGGGAGGATCTGCAGGTATCAGGGCTCTTCACTGACCTGATCCAACACTCACCCGGCTGCTCCTGCTGCCCCCTCGCCTCTGAGACGGGAGACCAGCTTCTCACTTCCACGCCGAATAGACTCCCGGAACTTGGAGAATGAACTGCTCCGACGACGGATCTGGGGAGGGCCCCGGGGACATCATTCAGTCCCCACATCCCACCTAGTCTCCTTTCCCACCCTGGGAACTGAAGCAAAGCCCATCCTCACCTGTTCTGCATCACCAGCTGTGCCTGTGTTGGGGGCTCCTGGGGAACAGATGGGGGACATTGTGGTGGGGACACTGAGAAGCCACCTGGCGGGGAGGGGCAGGACTGGGGGCTCACCGAGTGGGGCGGGCAGGTCCTCCCTGCTGAGGATTTCTTTGTACAGCTCTTCCGCTTGCTGGTACTTGTTCTGTTTCAGGTAGGCTGAGGCCTACAGGAGAGCATGGCCTGGTGATCTTGGCTCTCTGGGAAGTCCCCAGCACTGCTCCCAGGCACATCCTCCCCGGCCTGCTCTCACTCCCACTGCACGCCTCGCCTACAGCAGAGCTTGGAGCCGACCCACCACTTCCTGCCTAGGTGACCCAGGGCAGGGGACTTCCTGGCTCAGCCTGTTTCCTGCTGTACCTTGGGCCAGTGACACAACCTCTTTGTGCCTCAGTTTCCTCATCTGCAAAATGGGGGCCACAAGAACATCTACCTCACAGGGCCCTTTAGGAAATGGATGGTACTGCCCTAGCTGGTGTGGCTGAGTTGTTAGAGCTTCGGCCCCTGCACCAAAGGGTCTCGGGTTTGATTCTCAGTCAAGGGCGTGCATTTGGGTTGCATGTGCAATCCCCAGCCCCGGGAGGCAAACAATTGATGTCTCCCTCTCTTGCCCCACCCCCCTTCCACTCTAAAAATCAAAGGAAAAATATCCTCACGTGAGGATTAACAAAAAAAAGAAATGGATGGTACAAGGAGAGTACTAAGCAGGGGATCTAGAGCTCAATAAACTTCTGACACTGTCACCTGCTCCCGGCCAGTCTCCAGCTTCTTTCACTGGGGTTGTTCTCTGGCTACCACCACTTGCCTATTTGCTGCCGCTTTCGTGTCCACTATGCTAGGAAGTGTCACCAGTCAGGCCCAGCAGGGAGGCCACGTCTCAGGGAACTGCTTCCCCACAGGGCTGATGGAGGTGCTCCTGGCATCCCCCCCCTTGAGCCCAGGGTGCCTCCCAGCATGTGATGTCAGTCCCCCCCAGGGCCCACGGCACCCTCACCAGGTTGTTCTTGGTCTTGGCCACGTTTGGGTCATGGGGCCCGCCCAGGGCCTCATAAATGCTCAGGGCTCGGGCATAGTGCCGCTCCACCTCCTCAAACTTGCCCTGGTTCTGGCACAGCAGGGCCAGGTTGTTGAGCTGCTTGGCCACATCTGGGTGGTCGGCGCCCAGGACCTAGGGATCATGGGATCACAAGTCACTGGGGTCTTCCAGGATTGGCAGGCCACATGATGCCAGTGGCCATAGGGGGTTCTAAGTTAGGGATTACAGGGTCAAAGTGGAGAACTGCAGGAGGTTGTGCTGGAGGGCAGAAGTTACATCAAACAAGATTCGTCACATCAGAGGTCATGGTGGTCCAGAAACCACCTTGGCCTTGGGATGCAAGGTTAAATGGGTAGATGAGGGTGGGGGTTGTACCAGGTTGGGGGCATGTGAGGTGAGTTATAAGAGGAGAGGTCAGCCCAGCTGGCGTGGCTCAGCGGTTCAGCATTGACCTAGGATCCAGGAGATCGCGGTTCGATTCCCAGTCAGGGCACATGCCCGGGTTGTGGGCTTGCTCCCCAGTGGGGGGCGTGGAGGCAGCCAGCGACTCTCATCATTGATGTTTCTATCTCTCTCCCTCTTCCACTCTCTGAAATCAATAAAAATATATTTAAAAAAAAAGAGGTCAGGAGTCAAGATCAAACGGAGATCAGGGAAGGTCAAGTGTGGTGGCTCATGGGAATGGGTGCTCTAGGCTTAAATTGCTGGCTCACGACATCCCATCCAGTGAGAAGGGCATAAAAGGTCAGGGGTCACAAGAACAAATGGCAGCACAGGATCAGGGTCACTGTGAGAGCCACAGAACTGAGCATTTCAGGATCAAATGGGAAGGGCCTCCCAGGACGGGGGATTCGGCTGTGCAGGGGGCAGGACCTTCTCACGGATCTCCAGGGCACGCTGGCACAGGGGCTCCGCCTCCCGGTACCGCCCACGCTTTCCATAGAGGACAGCCAGGTTGTTCAGGGTGGCAGCCACCTGCGGGTCGGGAGAGGCTGTCAGGGGTAGGCAGGCACAGCCCCCAGCCCTCCCTCCATCCGCGTGCGCACTCACGGCGGGGTGCTCAGGGCCCAGCGTCTGCTCCCGGATCTGCAGGGCGTCGTGGAGAAGGTCTGTGGCTTCTTTGTACTTGTTCTGGTCCCTGTGGGGCAGCGCAGGGATGGAGGGGGTCGGCCAGGGTGGGGTAGCAGAGGCTGGGCCGATCCCAGCAGGCTCAGGGACTTGGCTGAACCAGGCATGGGTGACATCCTTTGGGGGTCCCTTCTGGGTCTTCCCACACCTCCTAAGTCTTTAACACCTTCAGATCACTGCCAAGCCTCTGGCCACCCCAGCATCGTCCCCACACTTTTGGGGTCTTTATCATCCACACTCCCTGACTCCCCTTTCCCTGGGTTGGTTTCCCCAGATCTCTCCCCCCTCCCACCACCATCCCCCGGCCCTCTCTCCCACCCAGCAATAGCTCCCGCCCTTGCTGCCCCTCCAGCCATGGCCAGCTGCGGCCCTCACCGGTACACCAGTGCCAGGATGTTGAGCATGGTGGCCACATCAGGGTGGCAGTGGCCTGAGCTCCGCTCCAGGTCCTCTAAGGCCTGGCGGCACAGTGGCACAGCCACCTCATAGCGGCCCTGCCCCGCATACTGGATCACGAGGTTGTGCAGGGTCCGAAGGCGGGCCGGGATCTCGTAGCCACCCTGCTGAGCCGCCGCGGCCCCCACTGCCTCAGGACCTGGGGGTGGCAGGTACCCAGTCACTGCAGGTCTCCTACCCCTCCAGCCTCACATGAGGGGACCCTACACCCCAAGGCTACAGCTGCCTTGCCGTCCAACTGGACCCTGGGACCATGGGGCCCACGGGGCCCAGGGGATGTGAACACCAGGCACCTACCTGCTTGGCTTCACACCTCCCAGCCTCACCTGCCTGCTGTCACCCCCCACAGCACCTGCTTCATCTTCCTGACGCCCTGCCCTGAGGCCGTGGGCTCCAGCCGTCCCTCCCCAGCCTCAGCCTTCGTCCGTGGCTGAGCTTCCCACAGTCACGCGCTCCCCACGCCCACCTTTCCTTTCCTCCTCCTCGCTGGGGAACAGGGAGGCCAGGCTGTCTCGGCGAGGGGGGGACTCAGGCTGCTGCGGAGAGGACCGGAAAGAGGGGTCATGAGGGTTGGGCGGGTTCAGAGATGGGGGTCCTGAATCTCAGGGTCTGAGGGGGTGGTGGTCAGGGCCTCAGGGGTCTCCTGAGGGCTTGGGGAGGACCTGGGGGTTTTGTGGAGCAGCTGCGGCCTTCTGGGAAGTCTAGCGGGTTGGGGGTTCTTTGGGGGCCTAGGGCACTGGGCTCCTCGGAGGGCTGGGGGCCCTGGGGTATCTAAGGAGGGCCGGGCCCCAGCACACCTGGCCCTCCGCAGGCGGGTCGTACTGGCGCAGCTGCCCCAGGAACTCCAGGTGGCTCTTCTCTTCCTCCAGCTGGGCCACGGCCTCCTCGCTGGCCCGCAGCCGCCGCTGGGTCTCCTCCAGCTCCTCCCGCAGCCACGAGTTCTCCTGGGCCAGCCGCCGGGCCTGCGCTCGCAGCCGCTGCTTCTCGGCTTCCAGTGCGCCCACATGTGCCGACAGGGCCAACAGCACCTGCCGGGGTTGGGGGTCAAGATTCAGGGGCCTGGCCCCTACCCTGCCGGACAGCCCTTGCCCGAGCCCAGGGCCTCAAGTCAAGCCAGGCATCCCTATCCTCTCCAGGATCCCCAGATTCTGCAGAGAGCCCTCCAGTGTGACTCCAAGGATGCACAAAGGCCCCAGGGCCAGACCCGAATCCTGCCAAGGGACCCCTCTGATCTCACCCAGGCACACAAATTATGCCCAGGGACTGCTTGTTTCACCCATGCACCCAAAAGTCCCCCCGGGACCCATAGTTCTATGGAAGGATCCCATTGGGTTCAGGAGTACCTGTTACACTCAAGGGCCCCCTAGTGCTGCCCAGGAACCTCATCTCTGGCCTAGAGCCTTCCCCTCCCAGACCTGGCTCCCCTAGGTCTCACCTACCCCAGGTTTACCCCCTGCATACCTGGGCCTCCCTTCTGGGCCTACCCCTAGGTCTGAGTCTCCCCACCAGAGCTGGACCCCTCGTACCTGGGCCTCGCCCAGCCCCAGCTCGATGGCTTCCAGCGAGTGGCTCACCACCTGCTGCTTTTCTTCCAGCAGTTCCAAGCCAGCCACCGGGCCCTGTCCTGCCAGGGCCTCCGCCAGGTGCCCAGCCAGGCCACGGTGCTCTGCACGGAGGGCCTCCAGCCCCTGCACCACTTGTCGTGTCTGCCGCACCAGCTCCTCAGGGCTCAGGCGCTCTGGGGCCATCCCCACGCTTCCAGGGGCTGCCACCTGCACGGACATTGCTGCTCCTGGGAGGCAGCCAGGACTGGGGAATCATTGCCAAGTCCAGGCAAGCCAGCCCCTCAGCCTCCACCCATTCTGGCCAGCAGGACCCCTCCCAGCTATCCCCCTTTCTAGCCATCCCAGCCGGCCCTCTGCCTCCGTACCTCCTTCCAGCCAGCGCCCTGTTCCACACCCATCCTGCCAGCACCTCAACTGGGAACATTCTAGTCTACCTGTGCCTGTTCCCAGCCCTGAGAACAACTCTAAAACCTCATGTCCAACTAACCAAAAGAGGGCACACAGCTAGCTTGTGCCTCCCACCTGCCCCAGCTCACCTGGCCGGCCCTTGCCACCCCAAGGGCCCGGGATACCCTGGCCCAGACCTCCTGGCTGTGCGACCTGGAACCGGAGGCGCCCTCCTCTGCTGGGTGTGTGGGGCGGGGTGTGTGGAGGCGGCAGCCTTTCTGTGAGCTCATTCTTAGGGTGTTTTTGTTGGGAACCAGTCAGACCACTGGGGCTGGGAGGTGGGACAGGAGGAGAGGGCCAAGGGGCTGGGATGCTAGAAGCAGAGGAGGCCTCTAGATGGGGGTCAGCGAGGGGGACCCCATGTGTGGGCTCCCGGGGTCTGAGGAGCTGACAGACCCTAAGGGAACACGGGCTCCACCCTCCAATGCAGACAGGCCCAGCCCGCCCAAGGCGTGTTGGGACACACGTGTGACAGGCGTGGCCCATGGATGTCATAGGCCATGTGACAGCTGAGGGTCTGAGGCCCAGATCATAACAGGTGTGAGTCTTACATGCGGGACTTCATGTGGTTGTACGTGGGTGACAAAGTCAATGACACAATTGGTGCCTCTGGAGCCCTCATATACACACTCGCACAGAAACACACACCCTCAGTACGGATTCTTAGAAATACAAAGTAAGACCCATTCTCCTCTCAGAAATACAATGCATTCTGGACACACTCTTCCTCCTCTATATAATAAAACTCGCTCTGGCTGGTGTTGCTCAGTGGTTAGAGCGTTGGCCCGTGTACTGAAGGGTCAGGGTCATGGATTAGATTTCTGGTCAATGGCACCGACCTTGGTTGCAGGTTTGAGCCCCAGTTGGGGCACGTGCAGGAGGCAACCAATCGATGTGTCTCTCTCACATCGATGTTTCCCCCTCTCTCCCACTCCCTCTAAAAATCAATGGAAAAATATCCTCAGGTGAGGATTGACAAAAAATAAAATAAAACTCAATAAACACACTCACACACATCCACACTTTCCTTCCAAAATACAACCTAATGCAACACACTAACTCAGGCAAACACACACACACATACTCCCCTTTTGGAAATACAACCCAACACACAGGTATATTTTCCTCTCAGAAATAAAAGCCAACACAACACACACAGAAACGAACTCTCTCACCCACAAAAATATAACCAGATCCCAAACGTCTCACATTCAGGCTGTCTCCTTGCACTTGCGTTCATTCCACATGCCCTCTCCCACACTCAACAGTCCCCCAAGCTGTATGCCCAGCGCCCGTCCCAGTGCACACGCTCCCAGACGATGGACCTGTCACTGTCTTCCCCTTTCCTCCACCCCCCTTCCGTGCCAGCCAGGATTTGCATACCCGCATGTGGCGCACACACAGCTACACACGCAGAGCTCCAAACATGGGTGTGCAAATGGCCCTCAACTCAGACGGCAACACCCACAGCCGCACAGCACTGGGACTGTTCCCCGATGCACACCAGCTCCCACACTCACACAGTCCTCCAAGCAGCGAACTCCCCTTCACGGGCTTAGCCCTGGGTGTACAACTCCACAGCTGACAGTGGTAGTCATACCCCGCACAGCCATCCTGTTGCGCACACTGCCTACCTCCCTGCCACTCCCCCCACCCTACCCGCAGAAAGACAACCACAACCCTGCAGCCTCTTGATCACACACCTAGAACTATAAACGGTTCAGCTCCCTCCCATACACGCAGCCACACACACATATGCGCATTACAAACACACAATCAGAGGCAGCCCACATTTGCACATCACCGAATTGATTTCCACATCACACAGTCCCTGTGCACCCCCTCAGGCCCCCCGGGAGTCCATCTGCCCTTCACACCCATGCCCACAGCCCGACTCCCTCTCTGCACGCACCTGAGCTTCCTACACCACCACACACACCTCAGTTTTGTACACCGCCTCTCACACACACTCACACACTGTCTCCGTGCACTCGCAGGCAAGAGGTCCCCATCATGGCCAGGCCTCGGAGCCCACAACTCACCCCTCCCTGGCCAGCCTGCCCAGCCGGGTGCACCCCAGCTTCCCCGCTGCGGTCACAAGGGCCCCCTCCTTCCCCTAAGCCCCGCCCTCGCTCCTGTTTACCTGCGCACGGGGGAGGGGGCGCGGCCCCAGCTGGGATCCAGAGCCGGGGGAGCCCCAGGGCGGGGCAGGCCAGCGGGCCCAGGGGTGCCCCAGGCCCAGCCCTCACCCACCGCCCCCTCCTCC